TGGAGATCGCATCAAAAGCCTCACTAAAAATCAAGGTACACCACATCCACAGAGACAGTCGTCTCATCATAAAAGGCAAATCAGGTTGGCCAGGCATGACTTGCCCCTGGTGAATCCAGGCTGACTTTTCCTTTAAAAAAAAAAAAGGTCATCTTTTTCTCCTCCAAGTGCTTACAAATGGATTCCTTGAGGATCTGCTCCATGATTTTTCCAGGGACTGAGGTGAGGCTGACTGGTCTGTAGTTCCCTGGATCCTTCTTTTTCTCTTTGTTACATAGGGGACTATATTTGCCCATTTCCAATCATCCAGGACCTCTACTGATCGCCATGAGTTTTCAAAGATGATGGCCCATGGCTCTGCAATCGCATCTCAACCCTAACCTGCAGAAAATCATTTCAGTGAAGGAGAGAGGAGTTCAGTCTGCCTGGCTCATTCAATTCTTGGCTTCTGAACTGAAAAAGTCAATAAGAAGCCAATTTGGATGGTTTGTGTGACATGAACACCTGGCCGCTTCTAATTGGCTGAGGCTGGATCACTTCACAGGCTGCTGATCAACCAGGCAGTAACAGCTTCCAGGCAGTGCCCAAGTTGGCTGGATTTGAGATGAAAGGCTTCACTACTCACCCCCTGGGCCATGTGGTCCCTCAGATAAGCTGCTTTCTGTCCCTCTTACTGGAAAGCTGCATCTTGAAACCTGTCTTCCTGTTGCCTAAGCAGATTGTGCCTTTCCATGTAATGTTATCAAAGAAATCATTTGGTAATAACACAATATCAGTGAAAACAAGCAGGACTCGAAGATGGCCTCCTGCTTTGAAAATAAACATCTTGGCAGCACAGCAGCATTTTACAAGCAGCAGGAGATGATTATTCTGTCAGTGTTCAACTTCATTGGCTTTATCTGAGTTAATGAATACTGGGCAAGTTGTGTGTGTACATCAGCCTTTCCCAAAATCATTTACGAGTCACTCTCCTCCTCCACGAACTTTGCATGAAAGCATTCTGGATCTTGATTTTTCTTCCCACAACATAGGCATAGTACAAAAACAGAAGGTCTCCTCCTCCCTAGCTAAGAAGTCATGATGATAATCATACATTTAATCAGATTACTCCCCAAAGCTATTAGCTCTGCTTGGATCTGAAAACAGTGATTAAAATAATAGAAAGCCAATGAAAAAGGGATTTCTACTCTGCTACCCAACTTCCTTTCCCTTTCTCCTAGAAACCACCCATAAGCTACACACAAAACTGTTGCATCAGGGGCACAAACCCAGGTCATGCAGACACAGTTTCACTGTGAGACCAGCACAACTAGAAGCACTATGCTGCAACATCCAAAGCCCTTGACTGGCAGGAAAGCTGGGTGTCCTTGCATTACCGAGATACTAATTTAGGTGTAGCACTACGCTCAGAAAGAAGCCTCTTCTAGCCATCAGCCAAAGAGATGGGATGTTTCTAGGGCAACACCAGGATTCAAACTTGTAAGGCTGATAAAAACCCACTGGTACCCAAAAACTTCTTTCAACTCTGAATGGAGAAAGTAAATAGGCAGAGAAAGTAGAGAAAGAATATGATAAAACTAAAGTTACCTTTCTTTTGGGGGAGGGGAGGTGCAGATTTTCCTACCATCATTAGCAGCAGTACATAGTAAGCCACCTGGATAAGTAGACAAGGCACTCCAGGCAAGGGTTGTCTTTGCCTTTACATTTAGTACAAAAAAAATTGATAAAATTCTTCCCCATCTTGCGGATGTGGAATTTTTTCCCATTAAAGCAACATTTGACTATACCCGTCCCCCGTTCTGAATATAGCACACAAGGCATTTCAACCATTTGAAAAAATCATATTCTTAGAGCAGGACTATCCAACTAGCAGCCACAGGCCACACACAGCCCACAAGAAATTAAAACATCCAGCCTAGGGTGTGCTACTTAGTCACCACTCTGCCCATTGCTCATGCGGCAATGCCAGCTGGGGTCTCCACAGGGCCTCCCAGAAATTGCACAGCCCTGTTCTTAAAAACGTCATGCATTTTCAAGGCATTTGATGAAAGACTGACTTCATCTACCCAATGGGGCTGATGTCCTTGGAGGCATTATTGAAGTTGTGCCTTTATGTGGTGCTCCAGGAATTGTTCCATACAGCACATATCTAACATGCACCTATTATTCTACCCCTGCCACAACTGTCAAAAAATTCTTGAACAGGGAAAAAATAATACCCACAGAACTGAAAAGCAGAGACATGTTTGCATTCCTTTTGCTGAACATCGGTGGTAATAACAGTTGTGTTTATTTAAAAATGTCTTGTTGGCTGCAGTGTTTATATTTTTCTAAGAAAATTACTGGGGGGAGGGAAAAGGAGACACACTAAATGACTAGACTCCAGCTTTGAGCTGATGGTCCCCTGCCTCCCTCCACCACCTGCTGTTACTACATTTAAAATGGACCCTGCAAAGCCAGTACTGGCTCCCTCATATCATAAATCTACTTCCAGCTCAGGAGCTTGATGCATTAGACAGTAAGGCAAAGAGCTGCTAACCCAGTTTTCCCCCAAGAAATGGGATATAATATTATAATGGTAACCTCATAGAAGACTACTAACTTGCAGCAATTAAATCAGCACTCACATCCACCTCTCATGGGCATAAGCAGATCTCCTACTGACCTATAAGAGAATGGCCCACCCTTTAACCTCAGCCTCATACCCAAGCCTGCAGTTCCTCCTGTGCAGAGCTAGATAGGGCATCACAGCTAAGACGGTGGCTACCATTGTGCCAATAGGCACAGCCTCATATCCGAGGTGCTCTCTCATCCCAGCAGATGAGCAAGAGAACAGGAAACTTTATGCATGAGTTGGAGTGGCCATTAATCTTCCAAGCAATGCTTAGGAAAAACAAGCCCCAAATCAAGCAATGTATTGCACGTGCCTTGGGAAAAGACAGCTCCTCTGGTTTTTCAGGGTTACCTTTTATCACTGCCAACACACTATTGATCTGGCTCAAGGTACTGAGCTGTAATTACATGCAGCTGACATCAGTGGTCAGTCCGGAAGAAATATCCCCCTGCTCCCCTCCCCATTCACTTATTGGGTTTTTCAGTGAAAACAAAGAGCAGCTGCTGGTGTCTCAAGTCAAATTCTAGTCATCTCCAAGGGAGGGGAAATTCTCATCTTGCTCAGGCCTAAATCACATCACATCTCTTTACAATAAAAGGCATCTATATGCAAAGCTGCTCGACTCCCTCCCCTCCTTTCCAGGAAGCCGATACACAAGGCTTTCCAATGATAAGCCTGCAGGTAGGAATGTTAACCCATAAATACTGCTCAATGCTCCATTCTTCATACTTTCACGCAAACATTTTTGCCTCAGGTCTCTGCCTGTCCTGCTACACCATTGTTTGATTCCCTATCAGCTTCAAAGCAAGCAGCCAAGACTGGACAATAGCAATCTAAAGCACCAAGAGACAAAGTTGGCATTTAGATCTTTAAAAGAATCGTTAATAGCCCAGGAAATGAGAAGCAGAGCAACCCTAGTTCCAAATAGCTTTCCTTGCAATGCACACCATAAGGCTCTCCCGAAGTTGTGTTTGCTCATAACATAGAAGATAAGATATTACAGGTGAAAAAAATGACTTCATTTTATGCTGCTTTACCAACAATGTCAGTTGGCACTTAAAATAACCTACTTCTTCAGATTCCAATGAAAGCCACCTGCCAACTGAACAGTCTGCAGCAGACGTTCTTAATAGTGTTCCTCTACTGGGTACTGAGCCTCCACTGAGTGGCAGGGATACAATGAGGACATTTCCCTATTCAGTCCCAGGCAGGAGATGCCACTCATTTCACCTTATTCTTAAATCTAAGCTGAGGACTAACAGTCCCAGAATAGTTAGTCAGTACATGATTTGGACAAGAGGCTTCTGGACTGCTTCATAAGGAGCAAGCTCAGATGTTCTGCTATTAAACATAATACAGAAGAGAGTTCAGACTTCCCAGGGCAACAGGAGTTTAAATAAAAAAAAAAAAAACACACACGTGCGCAGATTTATGCAATGACCTGAAGTCAGGAAAACCTATTTCAGTAGCTAATAATGTAATGTCAGGAAGGACTGACTGCAGAATTGGGGGAATGCCTGAGAAGGGCAAAACCAATTTTAATCTTTGCTTTCTATTCTACTTAGCCATGCCTTTGTATTTTAAAGGCAGATGAGAATTAGGTAGGAAAAGCTGTATAAGAATATTTGTTACCCCATAGAGTTCTGGATGCAATCTGGTTTTAACACCACTCTTGCCAGAACACAGATTTAAGTAACCAAATGATTAAAATATTGGAAAAGGCAGCCATTTCCATGTTTGATGCAGCCTTATTTCTCTGGAAAATCCTTTTAGATAAATGGAATAGCCCCACTGCAGAATAAAGCAGACTGTTTGGAATTATTCTGATATAAGTAGCAGTACTAAGGTGGTGAACAAAAGGGATAAAGATTAAACGCATCATTTTGAGGCATGGGGAAATTAATATGGACTGTTTCAGTCCATTTAGTTGCTGAATTGGTGGGGGGGGGGGGGAAGAATCCCATTTCCATTCACAACCAGAAGAACAAGAATCTTCATTTAAAAAAAAAATAAATCTTGGAGTCCAGAAAGTAAGTCAGCTAAGAGCAGTTTGAAGAAACCCTGACTTCATAAATAACTCTGCATTCCTGGATTTCTACTGCCTCCACCCCCGTTACAAGCTATTGCCATGCAGAGGTAAAAGAAAACCAATTCCCAGAAAGGAGAGCTGAAACTATGTTTCTGTCCATTAGAAAATCCTTTGGGGGAAAACGGTCTCTAGTATTTTGGCTCTCCTGACCTTCGAACACGTCTGCTTTGCCCATTTTATTGCCATTTCTAGTTTCCAAACTCTGCTTCGGGTTTCAAATCAAACTCCTCCACCTTTCCGCCCAGCCACTCCTACAGCTCAGCATGTCTTCAAGCCAGTCCCAACAACAGCACTTACCAGTACTAAGCACTGCATGATCTTCCACCACTTTGGAGACATAGACATCTGGATTCACACAGAAGTCACTGGAGCCCTAGAGAGGAACAGCAAAGTTGAAGGGAATAAATTAAAACACGCTGGAGCTACAGGGAAGATGCTGCTGGGCTGCATAAGAGAATCCTGGGTTCTAGGCTCCCAAGGTGGCAGGGGGGGTTGTCGGTCCATAATGCAGACTGCAGAAGTCTAGCATACGAGCCACCCCCTGGGAACAGTTCCTATAGGTCTATCACCAAGCCTTGGAACAGAGCAGAGTAGGGAGACTGCTAGGAAACTCCACCATGTAAAGAGACCATCTTATCCACTCCACGTGTCCTGTCACGACAGCTACTTAAAACGCCTAATAAAAAGGCACAGCATAGCATGTACTTATTCCCATATCTGGTACATCTGCAGAAAAGGGTGCATGAAATCTGGATCAGAGCACCACTTACCACAGCAACAGCCAGTTCCAAGCCCAAGGATCCCCAGCTAACAATCAGGGCAAACACTCCTAGAAAGCAGACCCTGCAAAAGAAAGAAGAGACAGATGGCATATGTACTGGCACTAGTTCAAGTACCTAGATGCTTTAACAAGGATTTTTATTATTTGGGGATCAAAAGCTATAAACCAAAAAGGAGAAGTTGCCAGTTAAGCAAATGAGAACTGGTTGGTAATGTGGAAAGAGTTTAGCTTCTTACATGCAAACATTTTGCAAAAGACAGAGGCTGCAGACAAGCAGACCCAACTCATACAAGCAACACCGAGGCAGCCCAGGTCAGCAGGGCCTAGAGATGTTACTCCCCGATTCTATACATGTAAATGAAGACACATTTAACTGAGCTTAGAGAGGTTTAGATCCTGTTCCTAGCAGAAGAGGCCAGACTTAGTACAGAAGCAAAGAAACAAGGCCCTTCATGCTATACCTGTTCTTTCTTTAGGAAGACAGCTCCCCAGATTTGTAGCCATTCTGGCATCCGATGACAAAAGGGATGTAACAGGAAGATAGGATTTGTTTTGTTTTTTTTAAAAGATTGGGTTTTTTTGGTTTTGTTTTTTCTAAAGGAGACAGAGTTGCAAGCCAGGAAGCCTGATGGACCCTCTCCAAAAGCCTTCAATTTCAATCATGACAGCTAATGAAAAGGATACCTGCTCATGAAAGTGAAAGTGGCAGAAAGAAGTCAACTTCTGGGAAGGACCTTGATATTTATACAAGCCAAATGCTGCTAAAGACACCCAGACCTATATTTTCATACCACAAGCAGTTCTACCAGATAGCCAACTACTCAGCTGACCTATCCAAGCACTCTGCTCACCTGAGCTATGTACACAGACCAACTGGCAGTATCACACTTTTCCAGAGCTCAGGAGAGAGAAAAAATAAAAAGCACGTATAGTGTACTGCAGAACATATTCATTAGAAAACCCCCATTTCTAAAAAGCAGCAGAAGCAGAATGCTGAAAGACCAAATTGCAGATTTTTCAGGATCACGATACACAAGTCTCGTCATCAACCCAGGTATTGAAACACCACACCAGGAGAAAAATCACCTGATACAGCTAGCAGGTTCTGCCCACTACCAGCCAATTCCCTTTATAGCTGGCATAAAACCTCAGGGAAGTCAAGGAGAGAAGAGGAAAGGTTGGCAATCATAAAACCAGTCACCTCACACTGCAAAATCCAGGTCTCTGGGATGACTTAGAGTGAACAGAGTGCAACAGCTTGCAGTGACAAAAGGAGTTTTCACAAGTGAGATACTTATTCAAAAATTAAGCCTAAAACAACAGATTCATCTGGGAAGCAAAGCATGGAAAGAATATCATTTCTTATGTACAGAACATATATGTAGGAAGTAGTTCTTTATTGAAATCACATTAACAGCTAGAAGCTCCAACAGAGTTTACTACATGTTGTAATCTGGTCTATCGAGTCATATAAAAGTGTACCTATTAATCGGGCACCAATAATTCCTTTATTTTGAAAAGCTCTAATTCTGAGTCTTTACATTCTATTACCTGAAGTGTGCATTTCACATAAGAAAGCCTCAGCACAAGACCTCTACAGCTCCCTTGCTATTCAAGTCTCTGGACATTTTGCCTTGCTTTCCCAAGCGAATGTGACAATTACCAGGTTTGCAGATTAGCAATGTTATACTGTATTGTAACATAAGAACAGTGCAGCTCGGTGCCTTTTGGCTGAGCATGGCAAGCCACTCAATATGGAGCAGTTGTTGTTTCTCTTTAAATGAAGATGACTGGGTCAGTAGCTGATTGTTTGGCAAAGAGATCTGAAACTGGCATTTCACCATCTAGCTTGGCTGCGAAACACTGGGGTTCTTTATCCAATGCATTTCCTTTGGGGAATGCCTTAATTGGAAACTCTGGCTAATAAAGGGCAAAGTTCTAATTTAAACTGTGGGTTCACCATCTGTGCATGCATTTGGACTTTTGTCCTTGTAACCTGCCAGGTATGAAGTCATCTGGCAGATAAATAGAGGCTCCATATACATTGCAATTATCACCATGCTGGGGTGTTGTGTTATAAACACAACAGCCTCTTGGTAAGGCCATTTAATCAAGTGTTCATGATACAACAGGGTCCTAAGGCACAAGTGCAAAAATAAAAACTGTGCCACAGAACAGCCAGGGGAATAGGGTTTTATTGCAATAGTGCCTCCAGCATAGTAACATGCAGGGTGCACATGAAAACAAAGTTGCTCTGCCTTATTAGTTCTACCCCATGACTACATGGCTGCTCCTTCCGAGTTGTGAAAGCCATTGGTTGTGTTGTATTTTCCCAGGTGGTAAAGCCTAGGCCAAATAAAATACAGTATGTTTCGATGTCACAATTATCATTCACGTCTCAAGTGTTAGGCTCACTTAATGATGTAATTAAAAAAAAAAAAACCAAACCAATCATCAAGAGCATTAGGCAAGTCCTGAATTCAACAACCATTTTAAAATGTCAAGAAAGGTCTTCCTTCAAGGTGATTTTTTCCCATGCTTTCAAACCAAAAGGTAAGTGAACTACGCAGAGGCTCCCATTGCTACTTATGCGATATCAAGTTCACTGTTAGTGGAGTGAGTTTCATCTTCTTGACCTGACAGCTGACTGCAAAATCAACATACCAACCGTGTCTTACTGATGAAATATCTTCTTGCAAATGGATCCCAGAGGCCACATGGAGACTCTCCCAATTAAGTGGCAAGCACATGAAGAGTTTACTACTGCTCAAAAGCCCACAAGGGCATCTAACTGAAGTCCTTAGGATTAAATCAGCAGGTGTTAATGTTCTGCTGCTCTTCCATAAAGTACTGTCTAGTTCAGGACTTACCCCATAAGAATGGCTCTGGAGTTCCTAATTAGCCCAAAGAGCACCAGCAAACAGATCAGGACATGGAACAGAAGTAGGCCCAGGTATCCTAGCCACCTGCAGCAAATAGAAACAAAAGATGGTTAGAAAAAGGAGAACTGGCATCTGAGGAAACATAAGAAGAGGAAAAAAAAAAAAAAGCCTTGGCCCTCCAGCTCCAAAGCTTAACAAGTAGGATTCGCTACTAATGAAAAGCTCTAGTGACTAATCCCCAAGGAGCTCTTTGCAGCTGGCTGAAGTCCAAGCAAATGACGGTATGCAAGAATGACCCAAGCATTCACCTGTTCAAAAACAGTCCCCAGTCCTACTTTAAAGTTAAAAACCCTTTCTTTACAACTGGACACTATAGATTTCCTTATCCCATCCCATTAGAGTACCAGGTCACACCATGCTGAGGTATGCTGCACCTGGTCTGGGTACACTGCCTCTGGAACTGGAAGCAGCATTACCAGAGTGCACTGCTGCATACAGACTGCACTCGCATTAAGGCAGCTACAGTACTACTAGTTCAGAACAAACAGACGCTCACAAGCAAAGTGGGCAGTAAGCCATGCTACTCACCTGTACCAGTCATACAGATCAACCCGAGTGGCCAGGTCCTCTAATGACAATTCTTCATTTTTCCAGAATGGGATCTCAGTGGTTTGCCTGACCAGGTCATCCAAGAGGCCCTGGAGTTTCTGGACAACATGCAGGTAATCTGTTTGTTTTGCGAACATCTCCTCTAGGACCAGGAGATTGGGTTCCACAGTTTGATTCAGGGCCACTGCCGTGTCCAGCACCTAGTGATCCAAGAGACAGAGAAGGCGGCACAATAAATGTTTACAGCATTCTCCCAGGCTAGGAAGGAGAACATACAAACAGCTAGGGAAGATTAGGCTTCTCTGCCAAAACACAACAGGCGATTTCCAGATTATAAAACAAGCCTCTTCCAGAAGTTGAGACAATTCATGAAGTTTTCACTTCCAATGTAGCTGGCACTTAAGATGGATTTAAACAAATGCAAGGCACACTAAACAATGGCACAGGGCCAGAATAGCACTACCAGGGCTGGACAACTTGGCTGCTTTTAAACAAGATTTATTTGCCTAATTTTTGGAAGGGGGCTGTAAAGCACAGGGCTCCTAGCCACACACCTGGAGACCTTGCTCCAAACTGACCAACCTACCCAAGGGTTCAGCAGAGCAACAAGTGAGATCCACAAGGAGCTGCACGTGTAAAGTGTGACACAGCAACAGCCATTTCTATTAAAACTATGCTGTTTCCTCAAAGGAGCTTGTTCTCCTACCGCCTTCTCTGGGGGTGGTGTAGTGCTAATGAGGAGCTGTTTTTAACCACACACGATCATGAAAGATCTACTTCTACGTTTAACAAAATTTCCTTCGCTTTGATATTTTTGGAAGCGATGAAGATGGGGGCAGGGTGAGGAGAGAACACCATCTTTTCATTAATGGAGAAAGTTTGGCGCACGCTTCTGATGATTAGCAAAGGACAGAGAGATGGACGCAGGCAGTCCAAGGAAATCCCCGAGTCTGTTCTTTCACTCACACCCCTCAATTGTGTGCTACAGCCCCTCCCTGGGCTTACCCGGTCCTGGACACCGGCCACAGTGCGGTTAGCATGTCTTAGTGAGTATGTAAGCCGGTGGATGCCATCGCTGGTTTCCCCATTTCCATAGAAGCCAACAGCAATGCCAGCACTGAAGAGCAAAAAAAAAGACCAGTTAGCAAATAACACAGCCATCATTGCAGGTTCCTGCTGGCCACTCCCATCTCTCCCTCGGACCAGGGCTTCCCACAGGAGCAGCCTGGCTCCAGGGAGGTGAAGGAAGAGTGTCAGGCTCTCGCCAATCGACACAGGAAAACACACAGAACAGATGTGGCCGTCCTGAGAAATAGCCTCCAGTTCAGTCTTCTCTGCTGTAACCATAACCCCCAGGTCTTTGCTGAGGGCCTATGGGATGAGACGTATGCACTCCCCATACAAATCTTCATGTTGATTGATGCTTCAGCAATGAGGTCTAGTTAAAGGACAAGCAGGGGAATCTCAGCTTAGTCATGGATTGTAGGAGGGGAAACAGCCAAGTTCCCTTCCTGAAAGCTACCCCAGCATGTCATAAATCAGGTGCCACACACACACACACACACACAGGGGACAAGCATCATACAGAGCTCTAAAACCTTATGATTAAAAACAGGGGTCTTCAGGACCTCGTACCACAAGTGCATATCCACTGCCGCTTTTATCCAACCCCATTTGATTTGTCCCCTTCCCTATTCTGAATAGCCAAACTGCCCAGTATCTCTGACCAGTCTTCCAGGAGCAACCTTTTTGCTGTTAGGTTTATGGCTTTGAGATGGCGGTGTCTTGTGCCCAAACGAGAACAGAATTAAGTAGAACTTATATTTACATTCTTTAAAACAACTTTTGGCTCCCAATATCTGATCCTAGCCCTCGTCAAAGACTTGCTCTCCAGTCATGTCACCAAACCTGGGGTGAGCTTCACAATCTATGAAACCTGGGGAGCAGGGCATGGGTCAGAGAAACAGCAGAGGTGATTTTGCCCCAAGTCGATACCATCTCTTCTCTGCCATTAGGGAAGCATGTCACCAGCACTTGGTGTTCCCTCTTCCACTGGGCTTCTCCAATCCTCTCTAAACCCATCCACCAGTCGGGAAGGAAAAATGGCATGGAGCTAATCTAGGAGAACACATGTCACTGAGATTAGGGCAGGACTTGTGGCTTTGTCTTTCTGAGAAGGGGAAATGAAATTCAAGCTTTCCTTTTGGCAGATGGTGCTTAAAATTTAAACAAGACAAGACATCAAAATCTTCACACCAACCTCCTGCCAGTCACGAGGCTCCAACCGGTGGCCCCACAAAGGAAGTCTGACAAGAGGCACAGGAAGGAAGTGATCCAAACAAAGCCTCCAGGACAAGTCAGCATAGCACCTTTGTTTCAGAGGAGTACTCAAAGGACAGTGAGCATACCCTCCCCTCCTTTCCCACCTCTGCTAGGAAATGATGGATTCTCTTGAAGTCAGAATGGTCTTTGTCTAGAGTATGAACCATTTTACAAGGATCTTTCTTAGCAGCTCTGCTATTTCAGGTACGCGCCCCCCCCCACCGAGTCTCGCCACTTCCATAGGAACCAGCAAGACAATGCAGCTAATGTTAGCTGCATCATGACTTGATCTTGCTAACACCACCAGAGACCACATGCTGGAAACAAAGCAGCTGCCCAAGGCTGTATCATACCTATCGCTTTTCCCAGCAATCAAGAGCTCCATAAATTATTGGGGGCTTGGCTCGTAAAATCCTTAGTTAAAAGGCTTCTCCACAGGGGGAGCAGCTAACCTACATCTTGGCTGCTTCAAAGAAGGTAAGAGGCATGTCATTCTAAATGGCACTTACAGCCTAGATGCAGCTCCTGCACCCTTCCCTCACAAACACTGTTCCACAAAAGCATTTTCATAATGCAAATGGAGCTGGTAATTACACAAAGAAAAGATTCTTCCCTTGATAGTAGCTACTGTCACAGCTAAAAAATACAAGCCCAGGCAGAGCCTCAGTCATAAGTGGCTACAGAGCTGATGCTTGTGCTCTGGATACAAGAAAAATCCCAGAACCATGTCACTGCAAGACGCCTCAATACCCAGCCCCTATCTAGCACAGCAGTCCAAGGACATAGCTGGGAAAACCCTAGTCAGGCTGCATCCACCCTTGGAGTAGGGGAAAGCATATAGCTTGTGTTTGGTCATCTGCACAGAGCAAACGCCAGACCCCTCTTCACAGCAAGACAGCAGATGGGATCCCTGCAATATGCCGAGTGACCGTTCTTTGGTGAACTGCAGCAGCATTAGCCATGCTGGCACACGGATGAGATAGGTGCCAGAATAGGCTGTCTGGGCTCTTAGTATTCTCAGCACAGCTGCAGTAGGTTAGTCAGCAGGGTGGGGAAAATGGTGCTCTGGCTGGAACACAAGCTGCTTGCTTCAGATGTTAGCCCCGTTTTAAAAGCACCATGCTGCTCTTCTTATACAGGCTGCTCACTGCCAGCAGCCAACTGTTCAACTCTCACACACCCAGCGTGTCCAAGAAAAGGCACCCTGCAAAGGATTTTGGAGCCACTGCTGCAGCCTCCATTTCCCACAGGGCACTGGTATCCACTCCAGTAGCCCCCTCCCTCCCTAAGACAACCATTACTCTGAGAAGGAACTACTAAAAAGCCTTCAGTGTCAGGATTTAGGATACAGCCATTCAAATTAAGACTGAATCAGCCAGGTCACGTGCACCAAAGCCACTGTGGGCTAAGTATGGAACTAATTACATCACTGCTAGCGAGCAATGGCCAAGTACTTACATTCTTTGCTAATAGGAACCACTGAAATAGATATCTTTCCAGAGAAGCGAGTTTCACAGCAACTTCGCGGTTTCTTTTCCTGCCACGATAGCAGGAAGAAAGCTCAGCGTTCCCAAGGATAAGCCTTCAGAGCTGCATGGGGACGAACTCTCTCAGATCAGGGGGATGCAGCTGGAGGGTACAGAGGGGAACTAGGAAATCTTAATAAAAGCAGAGAGCAGATGGAGCTGTTGATACTTCACCTCCTGCTTTTATTTGCCTCTCAGTCCGTTAGCTGCTTCAAGCCTCCAGTTTAGTGTTACTGGTTTATACACAGATTTGGTTGAAACTGGTTAAGGAGCACCTCATTTCATCTTAAAATTATCCCTCGATCAACTTCTGTCAATTTAGCTCATACCAAGGTTATAACATTAAAGGATCAAAGCAGCCCTTTGCACTGATTTCATTAAGAGCTGGAGAAGGGGAGGGGAGAAATCTATGTCCCTTGACTTAAATGACTGCAACTCTGCATTTAAAGAGACAGTTCTCCAAGTGCTTAGGAGAACATTAAAGGAATCCAATGGTTTTGTAAGATTAGAATAGCATTAGAAGTTGGGAGTCTGTAGACCCTAGAAAACAGGCACTCAAGCTGGGTAGTTTCATAGTTGGTAGGGTTGGAAGGGACCTGAGCAGATCATCAAGTCCAACCCCCTGCCATGGCAGGAAAGAGTACTGGGGTCAAACGACCCCGGCAAGGTGTTCATTTAGCCTCCTCTTAAAAGACCCCCAGGGTAGGACCGGCACCACTTCTCTTGGAAGTTGGTTCTAGATCCTAGCCGCCCTGACAGTGAAGTCGTGCCTCCTGATGTCTAGTCTGAATCTACCCTCTGCCAGCTTGTGACCGTTATTCCTGGTCACTCCTGGCAGTGCTCGGGGGAACAGGGACTCCCCCAATGCCTGCTGGTCCCCTCGGACTAGTTTATAACAGGACACTAGATCCCCCCTCAGCCTTCTCTTGTGGAGGCTGAACAGGTTCAGGTCCCGTAGCCTCTCCTCGTGGGGCCTGCCCTGCTACCCCCTGACCATGCGAGTGGCCTCCTCTGGACCCTCTCCATGTTGTCCACATCCCTCTTGAAATGTGGCACCCAGGACTGGACGCAGTACTCCAGCTGCGGCCTGACCCGTGCTGCATAGAGGGGGAGGATCATGTCCCTGAACCCGCTTGAGATGCATCTGTGGATGCATGACAAGGTGTGGTTGGCCTTCCTGACCGTGTCCCCACACTGCCAGCCCATGTTAATTTTGGCATCAATGATGACTCCAAGATCCTTTTCTCCCTCTGCACTGACGAGAGGGGAATTCCCCAGCCTGTAGGTATGGTGTTGGTTCTTCCCTGGCCCCCCAAACACCTTGCATTTGTCAATGTTGAAACCCATCCTGTTCTCATCCACCCACCCCTGTAACCTGTCTAGGTCCAATTGCAGCCTATTCCTCCCTTCTAGCGTGCCCACATCCCCCCACATCTTAGCGTCACCTGCGAATTTGAACAGGGTGCGTTTCACCCTCTCGTCCAAGTCACTGATGAAGATGTTGCACAGTGCGGGCCCGAGGACCAAGCCCTGGGGATCCCACTGCCCACATCCCTTCGGGTCAAAAATGACCCGTCCACGACCACTCTCTGGGTGTGGCCCTCCAGCCAGTTAGTGAACCATTTGACTGTGTGGGTGTCAACGCCACTGTCCCCTAGTGTTTTAGGGGGTAGATAGAGAAAAAACTTTAAAGTTTAGCACGGAGTTTCAGTAAGCCCAAGACTTGCATACAGTAGCCAAATGGAACCGGACCAAGAAGACTGAAGATGCCAAAACTGACTTAATCTGTCAATCAATGGCCTGCAGCCACTGCAAAACTTTGAATGCAAGGAGGGACCCCAGATTACAGACCAAAAGCCTGCATAGAAGGGCCAAGTATCTGTTCATGGAGAACAGGAACATCTACTGGGTTCTCATCTCCTGCTGAGCAGGATGGATGCTTAAAGGATGATGGCAGAGACAAGAATTTCTTTCTGGATGCGAAATAAATACAGTGTGAAAGCCTCTGAGTGTCCAATCCCCAGCCTATCCAGTTCAAAACGCATCTCTGGAAATGAATAATTTAACTGTACGAAGTCATCTTTAATTACAGGAGCTTCATAAGCGGAAGCCCTTTCAAACCTCACGTTCTCAGGAGAAATGTTAATTTGTCTGTCTAATTACCACCTTGCACTTCAGTATCAGGGGGAAGAGTGCTATTTCTGGCATCTGAGAAAGCAGTCTTTCACCACTTATGTGTATGCTTTTCCTCCCAATGACGCCCTTGATA